CCCCAGCTCCTGCCCCAACCTGCATTCCTCCCCAGAGGCTATTTTGAAGACAAATAACTTATATGCCACTTTTTAGGTGATGCTGCATTTGGGGGCACGTGGGTTTTTCTTGTAGCCGCAGCCCCCACACAGCTCCTCGCTGGGGCCACAATCCCCCCCCCCCCCTTCCGTGACGGGCCTCAGCCCTAAGGGGAACTAAGGACAGTTTAAACAGGAACTCGGTGAGTGAAACCCCCAGCGATTTCATGGAGCTGGGCCCAACTGCAAACCACAAATGTAGGAGATAAACTGGGGGGTGGGGGAGAGCCCCGCTCCCCGTTCCGGCCAGGCTGAGCTCCCTGAGCCCCCCGCCCAGCTGGGGGACTGTCAGCAACAAACCAGCCCTTGCTCTGCACAGACATTTCCATCAACTTCTTCAGCACTTCTCCCCACTACACCCTTCTGCATGGGGCCGCGGCATCTAGAGCGTTTTAAGGCTATGAATCGATTTTCCTGGGAAGATGCAGACCTTTTTACAGAGCAGCTTTCAGCCGGCCTTATCCCTCTCTCTTTTCTTCCGTAGCCTGAGGCTGGCACCCGGACCCAGCGCAGGCTCATCACCTCCCTGTCAGCGCTGAGGCTTCGTATTTGTGCACATTTTGTGCTGTCCATGTCAAACTTGACGAGCACCATTACAGGAGGCAAGGGAACCAGCTGTCTTTGCAGGGAAAAGAAGGCATCTGGAGCAAGGAGCAGTTTCAGGACTCAGCTCAGACCTGTCTGTTCCTCTGGGGCCTCAACCCAAGCTGGCAGAGCAATTATTTCAGGCGGGGAGGCGGAAATAACCCTGCGGGTATTCACGTGAAGCCATTCGTTACCAGCCGAGCTCCGTCTCGCAGCCCTCAGCCCGCAGACCCTGCACAGACCCACCTTTGGTCAATAAATCCGCATTTCTCACTGCCCGTGAAACAACCCTCGGCAGCACAGGACAGGCCCCGGGCAAACCGGAGGGGAACGCTGAGCCGCAGGGCTCACCCGCGAATGCAGACATGTCCCCGGGGACTTTGTGAGCTGGGGATATGCTGCAGCCCCTGGGCAGCCCCATGCCCTCGTGGGGGGCAAGCATCCCTGCTGGGGAGGTGCAGGGTGGGCAGCCACATGTGTCTCCTATCCACGCAGCCAGAGCCAGGGAGCCATCACCCAGCTGTAGGGGGGTTCGCAGGTGATGCTGTTCCTCACCAGATCAGGTGAGACAAGACAGCTGGGTAGGGGCAGGAACAGGCGAGAGCCACGAAACACATCCACACCGCTCACCCAGGAGAGCCTTTCCCTCCAGACAGCCTCGGGACATGTGCCGGGCAGCCCGCTCTGCACAGGGACCTGCTGGTTTCTCTTCCTTATTCACCGTTTCTCCCCTGGGGGGTTTCACGCCGACGCAGGAAGTTGTTTCAAAGATGTCGGCTAAGAAACAAAATCAATTTTTGCCATTAATTGTGCAGCGAGCCCAGGGAACACCCTGCCCAGAGCACAGCACGGCGAGGGCAGCAAGCGGGGGCAGCCCCACGCACCCACCAACCCTGACTCTCCCAGAGATTAAGGGCTCATAAAGCAAATCCACCTTCCTGCACTGTGCAAGCCCCAAAAAAACCTCCCTAGGGTAGGACACGCCAAGAAGGGCAGCAGGTCTGGGTTCCTCCTGCCTCGGGTTAGACACGAAGGTCTCAGCAGATGGTTCAGCAACCTCCTCTCCAGAGCCAAGCAAAGCCAATGCCACCACAAAGCTCACCGCCAGTGGGTGCCAGCCAGGTCCCTGTTGCCCAGATGTTGGCCTGACCCTGCCATGCAGGAGGATCTTGCCACCCAGATGAAAAGCCGTTTCCCTTCTGGTGTCCAGGGAGTGGTACTGAGCAGACACCTTCCCTTTTCCAGCTCAGCCCTTAAAAACATCAGGGTAAGTCAGTGGGTGACAGGGTGGCTGTGCTCTGCCTTGGTTGGCAGCAGGAAGGAGACGGAACCGAGCAGAAAGCATCACAAACTGCACCCAAAGAGACAAGAGGGGTCTGTTACATTTGTACCGCTGCAAAGGTCCTGCCTCAGGTTTTATGTTCCTCTAGAGCTTTCTCCAGACGTACCCTGTGAAGTAGCAATGTTGTCACCTGGGACAGAGTAACACCTACCAGAACAGCAACAGGTTTCACTGTATATGAGAATACAAAAAAAAAAACCCTGACTAAACGTGTCCATAGCACACCACATACCTTCGTCCACCCCTCCCCTGCACACCTCTGCCCTGTTTCCTCCTCAGTTCAGCTCCACGTTGGCTGAGCCACCGCTGGTTTCATGTTTTCAGCACCTTCTCCACAGAGTTCAAAGAACACTTCAAGTACAGGAAAACAGTGATTCGAACAGCAAACAGCACACTTTTAGGACAGGAAGGGAAGTTTATTTCTATAAAGTTTTCCATGGTCACATATAAAATTACAAATAAAACACTATGGCTGCGCCAAGGGAAACGCTGGCTTAGGAACATCCGTTCAGGCACAGATTTTTTTCCATAGAAAGGGGAAGTCACGTATTAAGCAACAGTTGGTGGAAATCCCAGCAGTAGTTTGCTCGCTCACAAGCCCAGCTTTCTTTTCCACAGCAAGAACAACTCCAAGAGATCATGACTCACTTTGAAACCACAAGCATCCAAGTTGTTTTCACTATGAAGACCGAGACCAACCATGGCTTCAGATCACACAGGCTCCTTTCCTCCTCTGTCAGACTTGTCCCCTTTCACCATGCAAGAGCTAGTTAGTGCTCAACAACTGAAGACCAAACCTGAGAGGAGCAACACGCTCTGGATCCAACCCAGGCTCAGTAGAGACTGCTTTGAGAGTGGAGCACCTCTAACACTGTCAGTCAAAGCAACCTTTCCCGTGAGGGGAGGGAGGCTCAGAGGGAGTGGGCAGGTGAAGGAATTCCCCGTGAAGTGTTTTAAGATGCAAAGGTGTAGGAGAGAACCTACGTGAAAGCAGTGAAGTTCTCAAGCCTTGGGATCTGGAGGCACACCTTGTCCAAGAGCCCAGGACACCAGACCACTACCCTCCAGCTTGATTTTATAGGTCTTGCACCATCATTTATAAGACTATTTGCATCTGCCTTATAACTGTGCTAAAAATCCCAAGTTTTTCATCAGTCCTGATAAATAACCATAACTGACCACAACTATGCCTGGGCAAATATTTTACAAGCACCAGATGAGCTCACTTGCTTCTTGCCAGGAGTCCCACTGAACAGCAGGCAACTGCAACAGAGGCAAAGCGTGACAAGTTACACCTCCTCCATGTCTCCTGCATTGCTGGAGACCACAGGACAGCACAGCACAGTCCCACACCGAAACAGGCACTGCGCTGCCCGAGGGCTGACGTCAAAATTCTTTCTGCGAAAGTGTGACAATTTTGTCTGTCTCTCAAGAAGCAGAAACCACAGCTATTTTAACCATCACTATGACATCATGAGCATAAAGCAAACCTATCTTAAACTGTACTTCTCAAGTCTTGTTGTGCCAATAAATCTTCCCTCAGTCTAAAATCCAGAGCTGAGGAAGTGACAGATTTCAAAGCCTGGAGACCTAGAAAGGGAACACTGGCAAAGGTGGAAACAGGCATTTATTCCAGGTGATGGCAGCACGTTCCATGGAGGGCAAACATCACTGCAGGAAGCAGGGCACGACCAAGAAGCAAGGAGTCATTTTTCTTAAATACCTCTAGAAGTACAAATACATAAACAAAGTGGCTGAGGGAGCTGCAATTCCAGTGCTTTTAGAAGCTTTTCCCTTGTATATTGAAAAGCACCTCCGCTGCAGCAGTACTACCAACCACCCACACCAGAAGGCCAGCTTCAGACCACAAGCCATTCCTCAATGTGATTAAACTGAAGCCACTGAAGTTCTGAGCACACCTCGGTAAGAAAACACGCAGCTGAGAAGAGGTTTGAAAGAGCTTTAATAACGAGAGCTGCAGCGGTGTTTACAGACGACGTCCACGGCGACCGCCCTTTCTGCGCGTGCTGTCAGAGGGGATGGGGGTGACATCCTCTGAGGGGAGAAGAAAACCCAAAACACAGTTACTTTCCTGAAGAACCCAAAAAAAACAAGCGGGCACAGCCACTCAACGCCAGCAGTCACCCTGACATCCCACGGCGGCACCTTGGCAGCCAGCCACCGCAGCAGCCACGCGGAGGCAGAACGAACACTCCATGGGAGTGAAGATATTTGTGAATTCACCAAGGGCTGGGTATCCAGGGCTTTTAACACTTAGGGAGAAAAATCCCCACCTCCCATTCCACTAAACCAAGCAGCCACAGCATTTCCAAAGAAATAGAGGGTGCTCAGTGTAACTTTCAGAGCAGCCAATGCCACTGTTTCTTGTGACTCCCCTGCAAAGTTCAGGACTCTCCCTCAAACAGTTGGAGGAACACACATTATTACTGAGTCACAGTCTCAAACCGAGACCAACACAAGACGTCCAGGTGACTCAACAGCTCTGGCACAAACGCTGTTACATCGGAGGAGCATCAGCATCCTGCTGCGCAGCTGGAGTTGACCCGCGCAGACAGAAACCTGGTTTCTGAAGTCTGCTCACGCCACCTCCTGGTGACTGTCAATTTAAGGATCTGTTTAAATTAAATCATACCTTTAAAACCCTCTGACAGAGGCCAAGAGGAATATCCCAAAGTTAAATTGTCATACCAACAGGCACATGTGCCTACAAGACTCCTTTTACTAAATAATCCCTCAAAACTGGTGGGGTTTTTTTGTTGTTTTGTTGTTGTTGTTTTTACAAGTAGCAAGGCTCTGCACTGACACACCATGACACACGTGTGGCTATCACTTTCTCCATCACTCACCAATGCGGCCGATCTTCATCCCAGATCGGGCCAGAGCTCTCAGGGCTGACTGGGCACCAGGTCCAGGAGTCTTGGTCCTGGTGGAGAGAACCAGAATCCACAATCCCTTAAATGATTCAGCAGTTGAACACAGTTCACAAACAACTGACAACGTTAACATCAGTTTCCTCATCCCAAAACATCCAAATACCAGAACTCACCCTCCTCCTGTCCCCAGACCCAAACCATTCACAATCAGCCACCAGACAGGCACTTCACTGTCATGGCAAGGTAACACATCTCCAACTCTGACAGCACCTCCCCATCCACTACAGGATAAATAACAGCACACCCTGGCTCCAGCCAACTGAGGATGCCCATTCAGAACGAGTTCCAGATGCTCGGATAGAGATGACATCAGCAGTCACCACACAACGTGACAGACACCCTCTGGGTCAAGTTCACAGAGTGCATCCACCTCACCAACTGAGGCAGCAAAAGGAAGGGATGTGGTGCCACCTAGCACAGTTCTAAGACCGGACACATCCTTCAGGAACACCAGGGCCCATTCCCTCCAACGTACCTATTGCCACCGGTAGCACGCAGCTTGATGTGGAGGGCAGTGATGCCCAGTTCCTTGCACCTCTGGGCAACATCCTGGGCTGCCAGCATAGCTGCGTAGGGAGAAGACTCATCTCGGTCAGCCTTCACCTTCATACCACCAGTCACACGGCAGATGAAAAAAAAAGAAGAGAAAGGCGACATTCAGAAGAAAGCCTTTCATCTTTCCTCCCCACAAACCAGCTTCTGGGTACAGACAGAACCCGTTATTTTGAATGTTACTGGATCAACAAGCTGCCACCCAATACCTTGAGCACAATACTCGTCACAGAGGAGCACACCAAACCACCTGGTCTCCGTTCACATATACACGCCATCTCATCTCACAGCTCAGCAGAAGCTCATGGGCTTGGTAGAGCCTCTAGCCAAACCCAATTTCTGCTTTCAAAACCGAAGCAGCCTGGTGCTGCGGGGAGGTGAACGGCGTTCCATACTCACTTGCCAGAGAGATCAGTCACATGGACGAAAGTGTCGTTGAAGGAAGCAAAGATATGGCAGACACCAAACACGTTTTCTCCTTCAGCAACCTGAGGTCCCAAGCTGATGACCTGTTCTTCCTTCTTCTCCTTGCCCTTACGAGGTGCCATTTCTGCACGACAACAGAAGAGAAGCATGAGTGATGGTTCTCAGCATTCTCTCACAGGACCTTATGAACTTGCTTGCTACTGCAACCTTTTACCAAGCAAGATAAACGAGTTTCTGGTGGCGAAACACAGGTAGTGGTTTTTGGGCATAAGTGGACTTCTTGTAAAACCTGAGATTCCCAAGTTTGCTGTATGCTGGCAGGCAGGTCACCACCTACAACTGTTCAACAGGGTCTCCAGATGCATGTCCCAGCAGGAGCAGAGCTAAGCTGTGCTTCTTATCACCTGATGCTCTCAGACACCACTGCACCCTTTCCTCCATAACCAGCAACACTGTGAGCTTCCCCTCACCTGTTTATGTGACTATATGGAAGCAGAATATTTAATCAAGCGGTTATTAAAGATCTATTTACTGTCACAATGCTCTGACTCTGCAAACCTCTCAAGGACCACCTTGGGTTCTTCCATATTAGTCTCCAAATCACATCCTTGGGATTAGCCCAGGGAAGTCTTCTGCCTGTAAAGCCTACATCCCGCTCTGGAGCACAGACACAGCGCTCGGTCAGGTGGCTGGGGATGCCGGGCATCTGCTCCCAAGCAGAACCGAGAAGGCAATTCCCTATTGCCCTCTCCTG